CAATGGCGAAGACAATAGACTGGCTTTGGGACTACGGAATATTCACATACAATCTTCAACGATCTCACTCTTGTCTGGGTAGGTCTCTCGTCGCACTTCGAATGACCGAAACCTTTAAGCGGGTAAAAAAAATGCATTGACGAGAAGAATCGACGGCGAATCAGATGTTTTGTAGTGCCAATGGGACTGTTTGATAGACCTCTTTCATAATGGCGGGAATGTCTACCGTCCTTTAATGTGCATGCAGGTCAGAGAAATAAGACTCTTCGCTTCACTTTTGTGAGAAATTGTCATGAAAATGAAAGGAAAGTAATCACGACCGTCATTTAAGAAGGAGGTTTATGCAAAAAAGGTGTGGTGAAAGTAAGTGATATTCGAGAATATCCTTCTATTTCTGTCAAATTTCAACACTCACTGGTTTCATGGGTTTCTTTTTTTCTTTTCCAAATAGACAATAGAATATTTCTGAATCCCTAGGAGACACGAGAGACATCAAACTTAAGTTAAAGAATGGTTTCAAAAGCGTAATAGCGATGTATTCTGGCAGAGGCGACTTTATTCATGAACTTTAAGTAATCTATCTATCAATGCTGGCAACAGTGCGAAGTCGTCCGCTTGAAAAGTGCTTTTCAATTCGGTTTAAGGAACTGTATTCAACATAATAAGTGATGACATTTTTGACAAAAATAAATAAAGTGTATCAATAAATATACTTAATTTTTTTTATCTCAACGACAAAGATGACAACGGCCCCTAACAATTTTACGATATCTTTACACATGATTTAAATTACAAAATAAGAAGCGTTCTTACGACTCTCGTGGTTAAATAAATATGATCAGTATAGACGCCCGAACATCGCTTTAAACAACTTCAAGAAAAAACTAACAATGCCAAATATAGCGTCCTAAATGCTTAAAATTGCATCTACAACATTCTTCATCTAGTCCTTGCTGGTGTTCCTTTGATTACAACCAAGTTCAATGTGTTCATAATAATACTATAATTGAGATGAAAAAAGATAACAACTTTCAGTGCCGAACAGTTGATCCAAACATTAGGTGCGTTTTATGCTCACAAGTTAAGCTTTGGCTAGTCCACTCATAATCATTTGCCAAAGTTCTTTCTTTTTGGGTTGCCCCCGCCGGATACTTTGCAAGAGCTCGTTAAACTGCGTCATTCCACCCGGTGCCATGCAGAACGCTCCACGAGCGTGTCTAAGCAGCTCAACGAACTCATCGTACTCGCTCTGGGAAATTTTTAACAAGTTGTAATGGACACACTGGGCATACATAGTCAAGCTCTTCTGTACTAAAGGACTAATGGTCGGAGAGCGTAGATTTGCCGTCAGTTGCGCTGGGTTAGAGCGCGCCATGTGTCTCGCTGCTTCCAAGGCAAGGTCGTGTAGCACAAACGGGCTAGCCACTGCGTTCAAAGCAGCAACACAGAATCGCTGAAGATGCGAATTGCCGAGCCTAGCAGACAGTGAACACAGCCACCTGATGTCATCGCTGCAATTCGGATTACGCGAAAATTTTACGTTAGGTCGGTCATCTGAGGTGCGTCTGGATAAGAACTCCAGCGCTAACATGCCCACCCGGTATGCACTGTTTAGATGATACGAAACGTGTATCCCTTGCTGTCCGGCTGATACGCGATTTAAATGCTGACTTAAACTTGAATTAAAATTGGTGGCTTGATATGGTGGAGGAGTAGGTCCTGTGTAACCTCCTGATAATGAGTATTGAGGCCCAGTCAAGGATCGCGATTGAGAATATGAACGGTATCCTGAGGATGCCCCCGGTAAATAGGGGGGATAATGCCCCATCATCTGATGGACTTGCTGGTGCATCTGCTGCTGTACGTATTGTTCGGGCGTTGTGTACAGAGGAGGAGGTATGGACGGATAACAAGGAGGCATTGTAAATTGTGGTACCTGGGGTACAAACGGGCTCACTGGAGGAGAATGGCCAGACGAGGCTACAGACTGAGAAGATCTATTCAAAGAACTTCGACTTCTTGATTCGCTATTTCCTGGTCCGGAAGCTGAGCTATTGTTGGTTTGGTTCTTCTCGTGAAGGTGGTACCAGTGCTTAGCGACTTCAAACAGAACTTCAGGATACACTCCGCCGCCCCGAGCTGCACTTTCAACAGCTTGACACGCTTGTTCCAATAATTGGGCATCCTCCTCACGACACTGAGACAAGGCCCGCTGAATCTCCCCGGGATTGAGAGTAGTTGCCATGTGAAGACACGACAGTCCAAGTTCAGCCGCAGCACGTACCATAGCGCGATCATTATACCTGGATGCTCGATCAGCAATAGACACAACTTCAGAGGGGGTCAAGTTACCCTCCCAGCGTTTTAGGAGAAGCGTTATCGCTTGATGGCCAATTTCCATGGCTTGACCAGAGATCCAAGAGACATGTGATGAGTACGTTCGCGACAACCAATTTGCCGAAGTTCGATTGTGCAGTCCAAGTGCAAAAAGTCCAATTTCAAAGGCACACAGCTGCAGTACTCTATGGGCACCAGCTTGAGTATCGCTGCTTGTTGCTTGTGTGAACACAGAGGTGCCATTGCCTCCTCCGGCCTTAGAAAGGACAGCCTTAGCCAGTTCAAACATGAAATGAGCTTCAGCCTCAGTTGCTTGATACAGAGCTGATTTGCCTCCCCTCCTCCTCCTTCGTCCACGACGACGACGGCTTCTATTAGTATCCTCTGCACCGGCGCTAACGCTTCCTCTGGAGCCGGATTCACTAGATTGTTCTTCTAATACTTCTGATGGAGCTATCACAACGGCATCTCCTCCAATGCAAGATTCGCCTTTAGCAACTGAACAACTAGATGCCTTATTTCCAACTTGAAAGAATACATTAGATGTCTCTGAGAGTTCGTTATCGACGGCACCACTTGAAGGCGAAGCTCCAACTTCTCCCGTTTCACCCTCATTTATCAAATTGTGACTTGATTCAATTTCGTGAAACAATTCTTGCTGAACACGGCTATGACATTCATCAAAATCCGCTTCAATGTCCGACACATCACCTTCAGACGAGAGACCATGATTGGCCAGGATTACCCTCTGGCTAAGCTCTGGGTTGTCGCTAGAACAGGAATTAAAAGCTTCTCTGTCATTTGAATTACAATAGAAATGAACACTTTCTAAGCGCTGTGATGGTGCATTTCCTTCGCAAGGACGTGGAACATCGACACTCGGAGCAAAGAGGTTAGGATCACCGCTATTTTGAGTGTTTTGGTTTGGTGGAATAGTATCCGAGTCCTCCACGATAGGCACTTGATTATGTAGGTGGTCCACATCTATGAGGTCTTCTCTACTCTGGGGAACAGCATCTGGTCGAAGAACGGAAGACGGGTTACTGGCAGCGTCATAGTGTTGACTGCTGTTGATAAACGGATCACACTGCGTTGGTTCACAATTAGGTGAAGCCTTGCTTAAAGTTTCATGCGAATGGAGGATTCCTTCATCATTCTGCTTACTTCCCTGAAGATCAGCCTTGTACGCTGCCAGCCCAAGGTGAGGGACTGGAACAGAATCTGTATCAACTCCACTTGAATTTCCGCTTTCTTCATCCAATGACAACGAAGCATTACTTGCTAAGAGTCTTTGTTCATAAGATCTTTCATTTCCTCCTCGGAGTTTGTATCTGTCTATTCCTGAAGTATCTTTACAGCTGCTGTCTGTACCACTGTCACTGGTGCTGGAGGACTGGTGACTATTGTTA